CTGACACTAACATATTATTGCTTTTGTTAAAAGTAGCATGTAATGATTTCCTAACAAGAGTCTGAGCATTGTCCTGCGAGCTGTGCAGCGCAGTCGTGTGATAGTGAACACTATCAGTGAGCTGATTGTGGTCCCGACAAACTGAGAACAGAGACTGGTTCTTGTTACTCTCTGAAAAATCAGGTTTCTAGATCAGTGGTTTCCAAATGATGTGCCTGGATTCAGTTCCACGTGTGCGATGGGATTTTGTAACTGCTAGGTCTCTGAGGTCAGCTGATCAGTGTTTGTTTGTGGTACCCAGGTCCAGACTAAGAACTAAAAGAGTTTTGCTTTGGAGGTTGGGGGTCCGAGTTGTTGAACTTGCATCTGTCGGACTTCTTCAGACACTGTTGATACCTTTAAGAAGAAACTCGTGATCCACCTGTTCAGGTCTCCTTTATGTCATTTTATCTGTTTATTCCATTTTAATTGAAAGTGCTACACAGATACATTTTAAAGCACAGCAGTTATAAATTCATGGATTCATTTACAGTTTGTATTTTTCTTCATGATGGTTGGATCAGAGTCCTCCTGGTGGTAGACGGCAAACAACAGGAGTCAATTTTGGCCTTAATGAGATTCAAAGTGTTGGCATAAATTTTTTTGTAGGGTATCGCTTCCAAATCATTATTTGGTATTAAAGAGACCAAAGTGTGCCATCAAGTATTTCCATCACAGCTGCTCCGCCTCTACCTGTCGAGTCTTGGGCTTTCCAGTTGTGGTATTCCTGCGCTCGCTGCAGCCTTAGATGTATTTTCTTGGATGACGGGTTAAACGCCAACCTATCTTCTGCTCTTTTCTTCCATCCATCTTGACGTCTGATGTTGCAGTGTGAGGACCTTTTCCTTTTTATCGAGGTTTTCATTAGTAATTATATCTTGACACCCTCAACTCAAACCAACCATCATAACATAGCAACAGATTTATTTCAATCTTTCTGACTAACGCTGACTTGTATGACCTGCTGCATGATTTGAGGATTAGATCATTACATGAATAAGCAGGCGAGTGAGTGTACACACACAAGTACTACCACTGGCTTTATACTACTTTACTTGGGCGTGTCAGGAATGTGGGGTTAGAATCAAAGTGGTTAATTACTTGTCCTTGTTATCTGGTTATTCAAGAAACCCAGTTAAAGTTCCAGTACAAAAGCCTCATAACTGGGTTAGAAATCCAGGTTGAGCTCTCTTTCTGAGTATGAGAGTCCTGGCTAACGCCCTTTGTGACTCTTTTGTGGAATCAGTTGCTGTACGACGGGAACATGTTGCTGCTTGCATCACGGGAGCATGCTGGCAACCTGCTGTGTCATTAAAAACACATTAAATAGCAGTGCCTTCAATAAAGTTTCTGTTTGCATTATTGTCTCTGTTGTTTCTGTGCAGCTGACCGGCTCATACTTACCAGATTATCTTGAGTAAGATAAGAAAGTTTCATAGTGTAAATAATGTGATTACTGTTCTGTACAGTTAGTCTGATTCATCTGAAGATGCTAGCATACACACGCTAGTATACAAACACCATGTTAGGCTAACAGCTGACATATATGATCTTGTCTAAATGTAAACACACTGCTTGAACTTCCTGTTGTCCAGATGTTATCTGTGTTTGTATAATTTTCTAGATAAAAATGTCTGGTAACTGTGACATTAGCAGTAATACACATTCAAAAAGTGCAACATGTTCCAGAGACATTTACAGCAAGTGACATTTTACTACACAATTTCTTTATTGTTCTTTCCTGACTGTTGGAAACGGCTAAAAAGCAGAAACACGGGGAATTAAAACGGCTTGACTGTTTGTTTTGTGGTAATGAGTAAGAGGAAGTTCGCTGTTTGTCAGGAGTTTGTCAAATGTTATGATGACATTGGATCTCTTTTATTAGCTCTTATAATGTAGACTTAATGTCTTGCAGCTAATTATTTGTTAGCATAAAGTAATGGCTGCAGTCAGCGCTGTGTGCGTTCACACGGGAAGCTTCCGTATCGATTATATCGACTGAATTTAGAGCTCGGCTCCTTGGCCGTTCCCGTTTTTGTCTTGACTCAGTGAGGAGATGTTAATATGCAGGAGAAGATCTCAGAGACTCTTTATTGTTTCAGCATCTACATCGAGCTGCTTCGGGCTGCTCCCTTGTCACACATTTGATTTGGCAGTTTTACACCAGATGCCCGTCCTGATCTGACCCCCCTAAGGGGGATATGTTTCTCCAGCTGGAGTCAAACTAGCAACCTATCAAGTTATCTACTGCACTGTGGAAGCACATGATTTCAACATCTGGCTTCAACATCTGTATGAAATGAAAAATAAAAATATACCGTTAAGAATTGTCATATAGTTGAAAATTGTCGGGTTTATTATTTGGAGAAAAAAGAATAAATCTGTGGTTTTGCTGAGATTATATTTGAGTATTGACTCATTCACGTTTTTAAATTTTTTTTTAAACTGTTAACTTTTACTATGGCACAAAGCTTTTTTTAAGCACTATAAAGTGTGAGTGCAGAGAGAATTTTTAATCATATTTCTTGCCGAACTCTGAAACCTTCAAAAATCCAGTCTAAACATGTTCTATCTTTCTCTGTCGTCACATTTTCATCAGGAAGCATTGAGGTTTTGAAAACACCAAATGACCTTTTGCTTTGTTTTCTCATCATCTTCTAATTTTCTTTTTAATAAATCTAAGTCTAAATGGTAGTATTTGTCTGTTTTTTCAGTTGCTGGACATCAATTGGACTGGGCTCACAAATATGTTGGACATTCCTGGTGTCAAGTAAGTACCTGCGGATAATTATTTATAAATAAAAATCTGCTGTGTGATTTATGAGGGTGTCATGCAGTGTTACAGGCTGGATTGACAGTTATTTGCATTATGAAAGCAGGAGACATTCTTTAAGTTCAGTTCAGTTTAGTTCCAATAAACTGGAGAGACTGGCATCTCCACACTGCAGGGAAGGGTTTGTTATGGGAGAGCAAGATGGCTAAAGTCAAATAGAGAAGTTTGGTCTTCTGATTGAATTTTTTCAAAAGCACTGACTGTCACACGCAGTGATGAATCACAGAGGAATGACTGCTGTCCCACTGAGGCATCGTAATAGTGTCACTGGATGTTTGAGGCTATTTGTTTCACATAAACTGTGTTATACAGGAACTATTCTGTCTCTCATGCACAAGCACACAAACACGCACCTACCGTTCTCTTCCTGGTGGGGGCGTTGTCACCCACCATGATTCCAGAGTGTTTTGTGTAGCTCACATGCTGCCGCGGAAGTTGTTGAGCATGATAAATGTTTCATTCCTGTTTTAATGCCGTGTAAACTTTAATTCCTCGTCCAACATAAAAACCAGATGTGCATTATTATGACATACTGTGAGAATCGCTGGGCACGTTATTTGAGATGATTTAAGAGTCCGTGAGTTCAAGTTGGATGCTGTGGGAGCCGAGAGCGTCTAATCTGTAAGAATGTAGTGAGTGAAAGAGAGACGCCTTACCCACCTTTAATAAAACCCAGTTGCTTTTCACTGCTGTGTTTTGTGAGAAGACTTGTTTTCCTTTTTGGTTTCCGTTCAAGAATATTTTCCTTATTCTGTTTAGCTCATGGAAATATTAATTGACCTGGACATGACGCAAAGATTTCAGCTTGCTTCCAGCTGCAGCAACTGCAAACTATTAGTGTTTAGGACAAAAACAGGAGAAATCAGACCCTGAATGACTTACAGGGTCAGCTATTAGCTCCTTTAGAGTTGGATTGTTTATTAAAATAGCTGTGAAAACTCTTATTTTGCAAAACTGTGGGGGAAAAAGACACAAATTAGAAGTGTAATTTGGGCAATTCAAAGCAAACTGCTTATTTATGGGAAATAAAAAGTCTTGTAACACATAATCTTTTATTTAGTATTCATTCAAGATTCATGATTTCTCTTTTCCCAGCTGCCTGGAAGTATGAGCTGAAAACAGACACAACATCAAAGTCTGGCTGAACTGGGATCATTTAATTTTAAATCAGAAAATATCTCACTTTCGATGAGTTTCACCACGTTACAGTTTTGGAAGCTCAAACATGATGATCACTCGGAATCACGCAGCCCGAGCAGGCTCTCGGGCTCTGATGCTCAAACTATTACGTTAAAAGCAGGATCACAGAATGGATTATAACCATTCATTTTCCTCTAAGTGTTGATATTTTTAGCTGTGTTATTATGAAAGGAGACCTGCCACAGACAGGGATGGGATGTTGGTTGGATTTGTGGGAAGATTTTCCAGACAGGAATTCTTTTTTTCATCTTTAGGGACACAGAGAAGTCTTTGGTTTCTACGCTTTAGGTCTTTTATTCCATTTTAAAGGGAGCAAATGTGTTTGCCAGATCCAGCTGTGTGGTAATTTGTTCCCTTAGTTGAGTGAAATAGATGTTCAGCAGAAAAAGACTGAAATCTTTATCACTACATGTGCTTCATTTTATGCTTGTCTTTTATGCCTACAATAACTTAACTTCAGAGAAGACCTTCAAGTTGTTGCTTTAACTCGTCTGCGAGTGATGATACGTGATGAAACTTTATGTCAAAAGTGTCTCTGATGCATTAGAGGATTTTTATTTTATTTCCCCCTTAAAGTCAAAATGTAACAACAAACTTTTTCTGGTTTGTTTATCTTTAGCTGAAATTGAATTCACAGACATGTGTAACCTTAGATGAAAGTAATTGTCAAAACATCTTATTTTAACTACCAATTTGTATTTTTGACAAGAGAATAATCGTCCTAAATGTTAAAAAGGTTCATGTTAATGAATTTTACAGCCTGTGAGCTTCCTGCGTTTGTGCTTTTACCTTTTGCAGCAGTGGAGAGAGCTCAGCTGAAAGCAAAGGCACATGAACATGCTTCATGTTTGTACTAATGTGAGCTGACAGACTGAGGTTAATGTAATAAGCTAACACTAATAACAGTGATCAGTGATGCAGGTTATTAACCACTTCAGGTTAGTATTTAACCAGGCTTACACGAGGCTCTCGTGCTTCCACCACTTTTACAAAAACTGAGTTATTTTGACTTTTTTGACTTGTGAAGGCAACAAATATAAAACCACGTAGTGTTGGCAGAGAAACAGACAGCAGAGTCCAGCCCAGATCCTAAGACCTGAGCTCTAATTGTCTCGCGCTAACATTGTGGTGCGTTTGCTAGGTAGCGTTTAAAGCATCTTCTGTTTAGTTCGGCCTTCAGGTTCTTGCTCTTGTCCGATGGTGTTGCCTTTTAACATCACTGTGCTATTAAACGTAAGTGTGCAGTAAAGTGTATATAAAGGGCTGTTAGGAGCCTTTATGCTCTTGATGATTTGATAGTGGTGCAGCAGTTTGTTTGTCACACAGTGTGAGAGTGCATCACAGTGCGCTTCAGAGAGCCCAGTCTTTATAAAAGTTCATCCAGTTGTTGTTGTTGGGATGTCAGTCTGCACCAAA